TTTCGGCACCGTCCGGGAAGGGTGGCCGAGGGCCAATCACTCCCAGAGAGAGGGGATTGCCCACAACGTCGGCCAAAACCCTTCCCGGGTTTCGGCACCGTAATGAAAGAAAGTGACCCGAAATGCTGGGTACCATTCAAGCATTATTAAAGAAAGAAATCTGCTGGGCTGTGCTTAGAGGGGCACAGGGCCCAGGGCTGCCCTGAAAATGGTGGACAGCCCCAACAATGGGTTTGCGAGAGTTTATATTAGCTTTTGGGTGCAAAATGTATTGGGGGAGGGACCATTAGGTTGATGTAACTGGGTGGAGAACTGCACTGATTTTTAGATTTTCTATTTCTTTTTATGTCAGTTTTGGTAATTGTGTCTTTCAAATAAGTTGCCCCTTTCATCTAAGTTGTTGAATTTATTGACAGCAAATAGTTTACAGTAGTTTCTAATTATCTTTTTAATATCTTTAGGAACTGTAGTGAGACCCCCTCTTTCATTCCTTATTTGACAATTTTTGTTTTATCTCTTTTATCCTGGATAGTTCATGTAGGGTTTTATCAATTATTGCTATTTTATTTTTTTTTAATGTTTTCAAAGAATCAGCTTCTGGTTTTACTGATTTTTCTATTGTTTCTATTCTATTGATTTCTGCTGTTATCTTTATTGATAGATATTTACACACTGGGAGACACAATTATGGTCTGACTTTGGAGTTTTGGCAGATCTGGGTTCAAATTCTGGCAAGTTTCCCTACTAGCTTTTTTTGGGTGCGTGTGATCCGAACCCTCGGGCGGGAGCGCTGCCGCGCTTCCCAAGCGGCGCACTATCCAGTGCGCCACCGGGCCGGCCCATTATTTCCTTTTTTATACTTTGCATTTCATATGCTGTTTTTTCTAACTTCTTAACGTGGAAACTTAAATGACTGATTTTAAAACTTTGTTTTCTAATATAAGCATTTAAAGCTGCACATTTTTCTCTAAGTGCTGATTTATACATTAATAAAATTTTGATATGTTGCATTTTAATTTTCATTCAGTTTGACATATTTTCCTCATGATTTTGCAATTGCCGTATGGGCTATTAAGAAGCATGTTGCTTAATTTCCCAATATTTAGGACTTCTCTAAATATTTGATTTTTAATTTATTTTGTTATGGTCAAATAACATATTCTATATGATTCAAATCCTTTTATATCTATGGAGACTTGTTTCATGCTTCTGTATGTGGTTCATTCTGTTAAGTATTTTATGTATAATTGAAAAGAGTATATAAACTATCATTGCTGTGTGTGATGTTCTATAAATGTCAGTCATGTCAAGTTGGTTGACAGTGTTGTGGAAATCTTCTGTACTTACTGTTTTCTGTTTATATTATCTAATACTAAGAAAGGAGTGTTGAAATCTTCTACTTTAATTGTGGATTAGTCTGTTTCTTTCAGTTTTACTTGTTTTGCTTTATGTACTTTGAAGCTCTGTCAGTGGGTACATATGTATTTAGGATTATTATATCTTCTTGATGAATTAATCCTCTTATTATTATGAAGTATGTTTGTTTACCTTTATAATATTTCTTGTCCTAAAGTCTAGTTTGTCTGATGTTTATTATTACCACTCTAGCTTTCTAATGATTAGTGTTTGCATGGCATGTCTTTTTTATATCCTATTACTTTTAACCTACCTGTGTGAGTTTCTTGTGCATAGTATATGGTTAGCATTTGCTTTTTAATCCATTCTGTCTCAGCCTTTTATTGGATTGTTTGGTCCATTTGAATTTATCAGTATGGTTGGGTCTAAGCCTATCATTTTCTGTTTTTTGTTTTTCCTGTCTTGGTTCCTAGTTTCCTTTTTTTCCTTTTGAAAAATTGTTTTTTTGTGTGTTCTGATTTATTTTTTGTATGTTTATTATATATTTATTTATATTTTTATTGTTTTATTATGTCTAGTGGTTGCTCTAAAATTTAAAATATGCACTTTTGTTATATCACAGTTTTCCTTCAAGTTATATGGTATAAGAGCCTCACAACAGTATTCTTCTATTTCCCTCACTCACCTTTTGTACCATTATCATCATGTATTATACTTCTGTGTAGATTACTAACCCTATAATACATTATTATTTTTTTAAATAGTCAATTATCACTTAAAGAAATTTTTAAAATGATAAAACAAAAATTTCAAATATTTACCCAAATATTTCTTGTTTCCTGCATTCTTCCTTTGTTTTTGTATAGATCAGTTTCCATCTGATATCCTTTTTTTCAGCCTGAAGAAATTTTCAGCAGTTTTTGTAGCACTGATCTGCTGGTAATTAATTCTTTCAGCTTTTATTAACCTCAAAATGTCTACATTTTTGAAAGCCATTTTTACTGGACATATAGAACTCTTGGATTTCCTGCTTCTTATCATTTTTTTTTTTTTTTTGTCCTTTTTGAGACCGCCGCACTGCGCTCAGCCAGTGAGCGCACCGGCGGCCATCCCTATATAGGATCCGAACCCGCAGCGGGAGCGCTGCTGCGCTCCCAGCGCCGCACTCTCCCGAGTGCGCCACGGGCTCGGCCCACTTCTTATCATTTTTGATTGTATACTGGATATTGTGAATATTAACTTGTTGAGAATCTTGATTTAGTTGTCTTCATTAAAGTATGTTGAATTTTGTTTTGGCAGGGGGTTACTTGCATGCCAACTTGATTTGTTCAAATTCTTTCCCCTTCTCCATCATCTTTTGGTTCTGCTTTTCTTATTATTGGCTTCATTCTTGGTTAGAATCTTTTGATGTTATAGGAAAGATGGCTCCTGCTGTCTTATAGGTTGCTATATTAGCCCGTTTCTTTTGCTTATAACAAAATACTTGGAACTTGGTAATTTATAAAGAAAATGAAATTTATTACTTATGGTTTCAAAGTCCAGGGAACACATCTGGTGAGTCTTCTTTGGTGGTGGCTTTACAGCAATGCAGGGGTCTCACGTGGCAGAAAAGGCAGAGCAGAGAGAGACTAACCTCTCACGTGCTCCTCTTTAAAGCCCTCAGAACCATGCCCATGACCACCATTATTAATCCATTCACTATAGTATGGTCCTACAATCTAATCACCTCTTCAAGGCCCCACCTTTTAATTACCGTAATAGGACTTCCCACCCTTTTTATACTGTCACAGTGGGGGTTAAGTTTTGAGGGGACATTCAACCCAAGGCTGTTGCTCTTTTAAAAGGAGAAAGAATGATTCTCCTTCTTAGAATTCATATGAATCTCACCTAGAGAAGGCTGACCTAACTGGGTCACATGCCCCCAGCTGTGCCAACCACAGTATATTGGTTGATGGGGTATTTTGTTGGACCTACCCTGCGATAGATACCCTCATAGAATCACACTAGGAAGAGAAGAGGAAGTTTTCAGTAGGAAGAGATTTAGGAAAGACACTAAGAAAAAAGAAAAGATGTCCATTGTAATTTCTAAGAGCTCTTTATATCTTAAAGATATATAAAATTAAACTCTCAAGTTCCATGAGGCCAGGGGTTTTTGTCAGTTTTGTTTACTACCATATCCTAAGCACCTGGAATAGTACCTCAATCACTATAGGTGTTCAGTAAAAATATATTGATTAAATGAATAAGGATATATATATATATATTTTTGATGCCTGACCAGTACAGGGAAGGGATATTCATTTTAATCACCTGTTGTGATTTTGATGTTCAGAAAGTTAAATTTGTTTTTGCCTAGTCTATCAATCTTTTCCTTTATGATTACTTCCTTTTGCTTTTATCTCTAGAAACTTTATGTGATGGCCTTGCCATATTTTAAGCCCATAAAGAAGTTAACACAAAAATTAAGTTTAAATATATAGTATTCACATTTTTGGTTAGATAATTCATTACTTTTTTGGATAAAAGTAATGACTTAAAATGTGCTGCCACTCACTGTATCAAGAAATATAGTACTAAATAGTTTTGTACAGAATTACTTTTTATCTTAATGGCTTTTTCATCAAAAATCTGTTTGGTGAATTATATTTGCATATACAAAAAATACTCTGGCATTCAAATGGCATGTGCCCAAAATCATCTCATGAAACGGAGGAAAGCCCCAAAGAAGCCTCAGATCTTTTACTTCCCGAGCTGCCTTTGATTTTTAGTACTTGCAGCTCTGATAGGAGAGCATAGGCACTGTGATGGGTGGTGGTGGAGGAAGTAGGATGTGACCTGGGACCAGCACATGTTAGCCTGGCCTGTTAAGGAATGCCAGAATGTGAACTGAGCTTGGGCACTGCCACTGTCCCCAAAGCTCTGGGCTTTCTGCAAGGGGATAAGGCTTTTTGTGCATGCCTCTGTTAAATGCTCAGGCAATTATAATGATTAAAAGTCTCAGAGCATGGAAAATTAGATAATTTAATTATAAGATTTGACTGCATCAGAATTTCTTAAGTAGGCTTCATTTTGAAAGATCTATATTCTCAGCTTTTGAAAAATGGAAGTGTTGTAATTGTCAATTCTCCAGCTGTAATCTACATCTATTATTTATGTACAGTACTTATATTAGATACTAATCTTTGTTTTTCACCTATCTTCTCTTAACTTTTTTATTTTTCATTTTTTGAATTTTCCCATTGTGCCTAAAACAGTTCTTCATACATAGCAATGACCCAATAAATATTTATTTATTTGATTATTTCATTTATACTAGTCTTTTGGAAGAGAAGACTGAAGAATAAATAATCTATAAATCTTGCCTGTTGATAAACATAGTTCTCTGAGGAAAACAGCCCCTGTGGTGTTAACTAAATATTTTGTTTTCTAAAAATGGGATTTTAACAGAAAAGAGTAATATTAGCATTTTATTTTTAGCAAGTTTAATATACAAAATAAACACCCCCTTCTAGAAAAGTAAAATAGTCTTCAGCTATCTGGTAGAAGAATGTGGTTTCATTATCTCAAAGCTAATGAACAATCATTAGAGCAATCAGTACATACTGTTTAATAGTGTTCTTTTTAAAATTTTTTTTATTTTTAAGGTACAGGGAAAACAATGGTGATGGACATGTTTTATGCTTATGTGGAAATGAAGAGGAAAAAACGGGTTCATTTTCATGGTTTCATGCTAGATGTGCACAAAAGTAAGTTAATAATCTGAAAGAAGTGATTTTTCAGTGGGCAAACACTACAAAATAATTTTTTATTCGTTGAATGAACATATAATCTTTAAAGAAAATTAAATTTTTTTTTGTTTAGAGTAAGATTTTATTTAGTTTCATTTCTTTCCTACTATACTGAAAGTAATGTGTCCGGAGTTGGTCCTTATCAGAGAACAGAGATTACTATTTGAAGGTCAGGCATTTTCTATTTCTACTACGGGTTGATAAAAAAATGTTAAAACATATCTGTTTCAGAAGTTATTCTTGATTAGATCCTTTACTTTGTGTTACTTTAGCATGTAGGCATTAAATTTGTATTTGCATTTATGCTTTATTGTTTTGTTGTTGTTGTTACGTTATTTCATTTTTGCACAATTTGTCTACCCAGCTACATTGCAACCTCCCCAGAGTAGGAGCTTTGTGTTTTTCTTCTAATGCTTTTATCATTTAGTACACATATAATGAATGAAGTGGGACTGGCTTTAATGCATTAGGTTAGAGACATAAATTTTATGTCCACACTAAAGTTTCATTTAGAGATTTAAAAAATATGATATAGTTGTCTAAAATGCACTATTAATATGATTTGGTCTGGTGTTGTGTTTAATTTCATCTATTTAAGGAATATATCGCCTTAAACAGAGTTTGCCAAAAAGGAAACCAGGATTCATGGCTAAATCATATGACCCGATAGCTCCCATAGCTGAAGAAATCAGTGAAGAAGCATGTCTCTTATGTTTTGATGAATTTCAGGTAAAGTAGAGAATTTTCATAGATGTGGGATGGTATATTGAGTGAAAAGTGAAGATTTAAATTTTCTCCTGGTTTTATCATTGTTTTATTTAATTTTAATTTTTTTGGTGGCTGGCCAGTATAGGGATCTGAACTCTTGATGTTGGTGTTATAACACTTTGCTCTAATCTACTGAGCTAGTTGGCTAGCCCTTATCATGGTTTTATTTATTTATTTGTTTATTTTTATTTTAATTTATCAATATACAATGTAGTTGATTTTCATGTCCCTTTACCAATTGTTTTATAAATTTATTTGGCACATTATCTCTCACCACTTTTATTTTACTGTCTTGTTTAGGGGTCGGCAAACTACAGCCTGCACAGGGCAAATCTAGTCCACCTACTTTTGTGACTTTTTCTAGTGAGAAAGTAAGGATTTGTATATTGTTAAAGATAGTTGAAAGAAGAAAAAGAAAAAACCACAGAGACCCTGTGTGGCTTGCAAACCTTAAAATACTTATTAGTCAGTCTTTTACAGGAACAGTTTGCCTACCTCTAAATTCTGGTTAATGGCTCTATATTTTCCCTACACCACAGAGATAATGTGATGATTATAAAATAATGTCTTTAAAGATGTTTGAGTATTTTTTAAAGTGTTATATAAAGAACAAGTGATTCACACATCTCATTTAAGCCTCACGACATACATATCTGTGATAAAGAAAGGGAATTGCCTTAGTTGAACTTTTAAGATTCCTTCTACTTTTAGGATTCTCTGAAATTATGCATTTGAATTGGTAATGAGTTATTTTCTGTTCTTCTGTGTTTTAAAACCTGGATTAGTAGGAAGATGATGTGGTCGGTATGCCTTTATCCCAAATCATGAATGACAGGTCTCTTTTAGCAACAGGATACATACAGCTAATAACAATCTTGATTTATGATACAGGGGAAAGAAGAATTTTCACCAGGAATGCTGTTACACTAAACCATATGTGGAGGAGGGATCTTTGCTTCTTTATACTTTTAGTCATATTAAGACAACCTGGTGTTCACCCTTTGTATTGTAGAGCTACAAAAGTTTTCTAAGGAAAGGCTTATAGAAAAGAGCAGATACTCCCCTGCCACTCTGAAGAGGCATACTAAGTACACCAACGTATTGCAGAAAGAGAAGAACCTCATTTCGTTGTTCTGTATTAACTGCTTTCAAGAACAAAAGTCAGCGATGAATCAATAAAGGCCATTTCTCTTGATTTTCCATTACTATCCTTCAACCAAAATATCTCTAAATAAAATTGAATTGGCATAGTTAAATTTATGATTAAGCTATTGAAATTGAATTTTTTTCAAAGGTATATTAATATTCAACCTTTGAAAAATGATTTATGGTTTGCAAGCTGTTTTTAAATCCATACCTCATTTAATTTTTTTATATAAAATAATTATTAATTATTTCCACATAGAGATGAGGAATCTAAAGGTATCAGAATCTCCTAGGTATCATGTAAAAATTATTACCGTTAACTTTAAAAATGTGAATTACAGAACATTCAGAGAAATGATTGGCATATTTTTATGACATGAGGGCCACTGAAAGGCAAGACTAAGAAGGTTAGGAAGCTATGAAAATCTAGCTGTCGCCGAGCCGGCTCACGCCAGGAGGATTCAAAGAGGAACTGTGTGCTGTGGGATCCTCCCCCGGGGTGCTCGCGCCCTGGTGTGGGAGATAACTCAACCACACAGGGGGCCGCAATACCGGGGGGAAGGTGGGAGGCCCAGAGAGGACCTTGACCAGGGCCGCAGGAACGCCCACAGTGTCCGTGGCAGAGGCCTGAGACCCCTTTGGGGCCAGGCGGGGCTGAGAGATGAGGATTGCAGAAGACACGCCCCAGCCCTGTACTGAGTGCACAGAGAAGGGAGGGGTCCGGCAAAGGAGGAGGAGTCTTGGAAAAAAAGACACACCCTCCGGGAGGCCCCATCGTGTGCACACAGGGAGGCCCCATCGAGTGCACACAGAGAGGGGAAATGCCCAGATAGCGAGGTGGAGACTTACATATCTCACACACCCTGTCGTGCCGGCAGGACAGGATCCAGCTGCCAGGGTCAGAACTCAAGGATCAGGGAGAACTCCCAGAGCTGACCAGAGAGGAAACTTCT